AATCAAGGGAACTCTAGAGTGAGAGCTAGTATCTTCCCTGCCTAGCCGGTCTTCAGAATTATTCAAACTTTAAATTAGTCAATGTTCTTTATAGTATCTCTAGTAAGGGTAAAGAATATTATTGCTCCTATTTGGGACAACACAATTTGCATACTTCCATAACATAATTCCTATACTTATTACTGATTCATAATAAGAAGAAAGATATTTTCATATCTGGTGCTTTTCTTCTACAAAAACTCTAGTTATCTTTTTAAATTGTTATTGTTCTATCAAAATATTGAAAATACCAAAAATATTTAAATTTTCATTACTACAAAAATCATCTTTAGTTTACATAATTATCTTTTTATTAAAATATAAAGTTTGTTGTTCAATAGTGCATACTGCGTATTCTCCATGTGGGTTCGATATTCAGCTCTTAATCAAAAAGTTCTATATTACTTGTTAACGATACATATACTTGCATAGTATCTTATATTTAATAAAATAATTGTATTCTTATTTGCTTCAAAGTGAAGTTTGTGTCTAATTGTTGCTGGTGATCAAGTTTTTGGCGCAGTTGCAAAGTAAGAATTATAAGTATGGAAAAATTAAAAATATAATCAAAACACACATGGCAGTACTATTAATAAATATGCAATTAAATCCTAATAAAAATAACTTTAGTAAAATAATTTTATCTTTTAAAATCTTTAAACTGCCAAACCCTTAACAATAACGCAAGTACACATATCGCTCAAGTAATAAAAGGCTTCAATGGAGTCCTAAGTATCGATCCTACAGGAAGTTGAAAATTCTTATGGTTATAATGTAAAACACAAAATTCAAACTACAATACTTTAGTACGAAATTCAAATCTAAAATAATTGAGTTTATGCTAATTAAAATGCAGTTAAAAGAACTAAGTTAACTAAACTACTTGCTAAACTTCAAAAGTAAACTTATAAAAACTAATCAAAATTTTTGTGACAAAGAGTTAAAATTTAAGAAAGCATGTTTTCCCTTTACAATGAGTATATGAATTGTGAAGAAACGTGCCTAATTCCATGGTTAGGTTGGGAGGATACCAGCTCTCACTCTAAAACTCCCACTTTTCCTGTGCCTAAGGGCTAACGATCTTGCATTAGTTTCCAATCAATTGGACCAAATTGAGGATTTTAATCTATCACCTTAAAATCTCTAATTCTACGTCCAGTAAAGTATATTTCCATATTTATTTGCACTCAAACCTATGGATTACATTCTCACCCATGAAATTAAATGTGGCTCTTACCTTGTTGTAGAAAGCATAGCCCTTTCGGATCTTATGTTTTTTAAAAAATCTTAACATTTTAATTGGTTAAATTGGAAAGTAAATGAAGATCGGAGTTTAAATCATCACAAATTATTGACATTCAAAATCATATAAAAAAAATTAATTCTTCACAAAACCATATCTCAGAGTAGGGAGAAGGATAAAGAAGACTACTCAGAATTCATAAGAAGAAAACAACAAAACACGAATTTCATATATAAAAATAAGTTTGCAAAATTAAAAAAATAAAAGACAATTTATCTCACACTCCTTCCCAAGCAATTCCCTAAAAGTTCCTTTTAAGCACTTTCCCTCTTTACAAGCACTCTCAACTCTTTCTTAGAAATGTAATTAATAAGAAATCTCTCACTTTCCCTCTCTTCTTATAACCCTTACCTCCTCTTACAACCTTAGAAGAAAATCTCCAAGTCCCTACTCTCTCTCTCTCTCTCTCGCCTCTCTTTTCTCTTGTCACTGAACCACACTTCAGCCCTAGTCTCCTCTCCTTTTAATTAGTGGCTGCCTTCTTCAAAAAGAATTCAAAATTCCCTCCTAAAATCTCTCCAAAAGTCACAACTTTTGATTCCCAAAAGACATGTGCATTCATTCAAGAGACATTCCTTCATTGGAGAGCCTTCCAAAGTGTCTAAATGCATTGAATTACTCCATGGGGCATTTAAAGCATTTCAAGCCTTTAAAAACTACTCAAAAATCATCTCAAACTGGCTTAATCCATCAAATATCAATTTTGGCGCTTCATGCGCCAAGTTACTTAAGTCCGCACTATTTTGGGTTCTGGCGCTTCAAGCACCGATTCTGGCTCTTCAGACACTGATTTTGGCACTTCAGGTGCCACTTCTCTGTATAATGGCACTTTAAGCGTCAATTTTGGCACTTCAGGCGCCAACTCTCTAGAAAATGGCACTTCAGGCGCCAGAATCACAAAGTGCTCTATTTTGGCTTCAAATTTCCTCATTTTTGCTATTTTTGCTCCAAATACCTAAAATTGATATACCTGCAACAAAAACATGAAAATACTCTTCTTTAATGTGCAATGTCACAAAAAATAAGCATAAAATGTATATTTAAAATAACACATTATTTTGATGTATCAAAATCCCCAAAATTAAATGTTACTTGTCCTCAAGTAACTCTTTTACCACATAAAAATGTGACTTAGGATGGAGATTAACTTATAAACTTCTATACTTTAATTTGATAAATAAAATAGTATAATTTAAGAAAAACCTATAATTACTTTGATTAAAACTATAAGTATAAGAATACTTAGCAATCAAATCTAAGATTTTTGAATCTCTATTCATTTCAAGTAGAATTGCAATTTGTTATATCAAGGATACTTGGAAAATCCATATGAAAAAAAAAATTCATGAAAACTTTATTATTAAGGGTGTTAATACTCAAATACAAGTTTAGAAAATGTAATAAAGCATTTTCCTCAAGTTGATTCAAGTGAAGCCAATTTTTTATTAGGCATCACCTTAAGCTTCTCCTCACATATTTATTTTATTTTTTAATTCATTTTCTTTTCAATCCTTTCTTTTATTTTCTTTTTCAAGTGAGGAATACTATATTTGGATAACCTTTAATAATTTTGAACTTCACTATCCTCTTCTTAAAGTTAAAACTGTTTACCTTTCTTTACTTTATAAATTCATATTAGTTTTGATGATTTTTCATAAAGTCTCATTCATTTCTTCTTACATGAAACTCTAATATTATTTATGTCAGACATCGACAGGAGTATCATCTTTTGTTGGAGAAGAGTTTCACGACGGGAGTCCGTTTGGGAAAGGCATTGAGAGAACGACAACGTGTTAAGGAGAATAGGAGTTCGTAAAACACAATAAGGAAGAGAAGCATATCTATGTACATGCTAAATTTGGTGACTACCATGCTTTAGCAAACCCAAGATTTAGGGGCTATGTAGCAACATATTATATTTAAATTAGTAGGACATAATAAATTCTGTAAATCTGGCTTTAGTAAATTCTATAAGGGTTAAATCCCAAAAATATTTGGCAACAGATTTGATAAGTCCAATTAAATCTTGTCAAACAGTGACAACTTCTATCACGATTTAAGAATTTGTTATGTTTGTTGGAATAAAAAATTTAATGTGTTATTTTATTACTATAATAACAATTAATTATAAAATTTAACTAAATTCAATTTAAATTTTAGTTCTAATTATGCTAATTCATAACAAATGATTTACTAAACTAATTGATTATTAATAAATAGTATTAAAGTAAGTACTTATTAAATAATGATTTTACCTTAACTATTAATTAATTAGTTATGAATTCTATTAATTAAGAATTACTTACAATCTTATTAAATAAAGTAAATTTAAATTATTTAAATTCATTAATTAACTATTAAATAGTTATATCTATAGTTATTTAGTTATTATTATTTTAATAATTAATTTTTACTCAATTAAAAAAATAAAATTAACTTAAAAAAAAATAAAGGAAAATTATAAGCAGCATAACCCACCACCCCACGCCCGCCAAACAATCTACTTCACTTCCCTCACGCCTTCCCGAACCCGCGCGATACAGTCGCGATTAGGAATAACTGGGAAGGCAACGGCGGGATCGCGGCGTGCAGAGAACCGAAATTCCCATCTTTCTCTTCCATACGCTCCGCTCCTACCGGAAGGTGACTTCACATCTTCCTTCACGCGTGAAAGTCCGTCCTGGATTTACTAAATCCGCCGATTCTCGCGGGATTTAGTAAATCCGGGTTTTAAGGGCGAGATCCGTGTGATATCCGGATTTATAAAATCCATTTCTACTTATTTAAATTAGTAATTTGTCATGGTGTTGGTCTTTTCTCTATATTTATTGCAGGAGGTTTTTTTGCCATTTTCCATTCGAATGTGTGCATTCTGCTTAAGATTTGCTGCATTCAGTTTCAGTTATATTCATTCCTCGAGTTTTATTTTTATTTTTGTTTTTATTTTTGCTTCAGATTGGCTTATTTTGCTCCAGAGCCTTGTTTGTAATGAACAAAGTTTTAAATTCCATTTATATGTCGTGAGAGCCTTCCACCATCATCAATTTCCCTAAGGCATGGCCTGTAAATTATGATGATATTCAATTCAGTGAGACAAAAGCTCTAAACTTGGCATCCAGACCAAAACAAAAACAAAAAAGTTACCCGTCTTCTACTTTAGCCAACCAAATATCTCCAAGTAAACTTGATATAAGGCGCTGAATTTACTTTTCAAGCTTAAATTGTATGCATTCTAAATACGTCTAGATCTTTTCAGACAATCAGACATTTTACAGTCGATGAAGGAGGATTTGTGGATCTGTGCATGCCCCCAGTGAGAGAAGAACCTCGTTGAAAGGAAAATTAGGACTTCAACATTCAGTCCTAATGGGTTCGGTGGATCTCAGTCGGATGCTTTTGTCCTCTGCTATCATTAGGCTGCTTTTGTTGATTTACGGGGAATGGCAGGATGCCCACTTGGAGGTCCGTTACACTGATGTTGACTACCTTGTATTTTCAGATGCGGCTACCATGGTAGCTGCTGGAAGGTCACCATATGAGAGATCCACTTACCGTTACTCTCCTCTTCTGGCTTTCTTGCTTGTACCCAACTCCTTCCTCCATCGATCATGGGGGAAGATGCTTTTCTCCGCATCTGGTATTTAAAACACTGACTGGTTGTTTCTTGCTGTGTTCTTCTTTTGTTTATGTTTGTATATTTCGAGATAGGTTTTCTTTTAAAATAATCTAGATATGGAATAATGAAGCCACCTTTTTATGGTGAATTCACCTAATGTTTTTAAAGGTGGGACGTGTTACATGTTATGAGGTATGGTATAAGTCCTGAGACATGAGGTGTATCTATTGTTAGCCACCAAACCCTTGTGGTTTGTACTTGTACTAAGCAAGGATAGCAATTATATTGACATTTAAAATATAATTGGTTAAATCAACACCGCATATGAAACTGTTAAGATGTTAAACCTTTGGTAAAAAACTACAGCCACTTTTAGCTAAAAAGATTAAATTAAAGTTGCTTAACTATATTTGGTTTGGTAGTAATATGGTTATAGAGAGAATGGTTAAAGGTTGACATGCCACATATTTCAATCATATTTAGATGCTAGAATTAATTTCAAAATTTGGTAATAATAACTTAAAGTTTAACTGGAATCATCTACCCTTTAAAAAGCATAGAATTAGATGGGATTATGACTTATTATAGTTTTTACATGTGCCCAAGTGAGCAGGGGGCGGACTAGGATAACTTGAAATTTTCAAAAATTTTCAAACATGATTTTGAATTGATTTGAATTAATAAGTCTAAAATAAAATAGATGTAGTAAAACAATCAACTATAAAGAATGATTCATTTGATCACAAATGATTTTAACATGGTTCGATTGCAATCTACATCCATGCTTAGATGCACACCATCTTTTAAGATGTTTGGACAATCTGCACTAAAAATTTGTTACTCCTTTAACAAGTAGAGAGACCTTTTAACATAACCTTTTCTACAAGACATCCTCCTGTACCCTTTTTAGTCAAGGGTATCTCCTCAATGGAGAAAAATGGAGAAAAATGATTCATGTAGCCGACCCCGCTTAGTGGGATAAATGTTTGTTATTGTATAAGCAAAGAACTTAAGGCACAAAATTAAAATTTTGTACCGTTGGATTTGTTTACTTATAACCCACAAATAGAAAAGAACTTAAAACACACAGATCGAAGCTCTATATTGTTAGATCTGTCGCTATTCTATGTGTTTTCCTAAAGGATTGTCTGCCCTATTTATTTTTTACTTATTTTTTCTTTTATTTCTATTTTCTAATGCTCATGAAAAATGCATATATATTCCCCTCTTGTACAATGAAAAGTGAAGATTCTTGAGAGTTTTTCCATTGTTTTATTTTCTATAGAAACCTATTCTAAATAAAATTAAAGTAGGGAATATGGCTAGGCACAGGGCCTGCTACATATTCTTTATAGAGAGCTAGTTAGTATTAGGTTTTAAAGAAGGTTACCTAATAAACTGAAATCCATGACGCTAACTTGAAATTTAGGGAGCAGATTGCTTCAGTGAAGCTCTTTATTCTTAGAAGGGTGGGCAAAAGCTAGCCAAATATAGGAAATATATGTTCATTTGGCTGTTTATATTCATATGAATTAAATATATTTTTCTAAAAAATACAAAGATGACAATAACATTAAGATTAGTTACTTAAATTATATAATTAGTAAAGTGGATACGTGCAATAATATTTGTGTGGTGAGTTGATTTCGTATTTATCTATTATTTGCCATGAAACTATCTTTGGGAACCGATTATGACTTAATGTGCTTTGTTATTGAATTCCATTTTAATGCCAGTGTTCTTATTTTTGCTTGTTTAGATGGTTCATTTTTTTCTTTTCTTTCCATTTTTACAATATCATATGTTTACCTAATATATTTAATTAAATTCAAAACTTTCTAATGAAAACACCCAAGTATAGCTTTGCAAGAGAATCATGTGAGCTATGCCTTGAGAACATATGCACACCATGGTGTCCATTCATGATGTTTAGAAGTTCTTCCATGTTTCCCACTTAGGGGCTATTTGGTTTGCTGAAAAAAAAAAATAATGTTAAAGTAATCTATTGTAATTGGAATATTTTAGTTATTTGGTTCACTGTAAAACAAATGCAGGGCTTTGCATTTTCTTATTTGTTTTGAAGGAAAATGAGTTCAATGTAACATAAACTAGTTGACTGCAACGATGGTGGGCAGAAGCGGTGGCATCACTTTATATAAACCAGTGTATTTGGAATTCGCCCGAGTTCAAAAAATTTCAGATACATTGAAAATGAAATAGAGAGTGAATTCCAAATAAATTAGAATTTTACACTTCAGTTCTTTTTTTTCTTACCAAACTCTTGAATTTTTAAAACCCTTGGAAAAGAAATGCAACGTGTTTCTTTTGTTGCCAACCAAACAACCCCTAACTTTTAGTCATTTAATATATTTTTTCATGTTAATTTTCGTTGTCACTCTTTAGTTAATAGATTGTCATCATCGCATGAAATCAAACAGTTTTGTTCATTGAAGTTGGTATCATTTTTCAGATTTGCTGGTGGGATTATTTATTTACAGGATCTTGAGGCAGCGTGGTGTTTCTGAGAAAGTCTCACTTTGGTGCGTGGCTGCTTGGCTTTTCAACCCATTTACATTCACCATCGGCACCAGAGGAAATTGTGAGCCTATCGTCTGCGCATTTGTTTTATGGATTATCTTATGTCTTATGAATGGTATAAACTTTAATGCTTCTATTCATTGTCCCTTTTATCCTTGCAAATAAACCGATTTGATTTAGTAAATGAGTTATATATCAATAAAGAAGCCTCCATTTTTATCTTTTTCCTATTTCAAAAATCTTATAGGTTATAACAACAACTTAGTAAATATCTATGTTGCAAATTGCATTTTTTTTGCAGAGGTGCACTTCAAATTCATTTCTATGATTTGTATAATTTTTTTTTAATAATTATCTCATACTGATAAATAGTGTACGCGTAAATCATCATATTTTTTATGAATTTTCTTTACTCGTGCTTGAATCTTTTTTACTTGGGTTAGGTTTGATTTTGATGTTAAGTCACCAAATCTAAAGGTTTTACTTGTTAAAGTTTACTCTTAATTACTTCCAGTTTTCCATGAGAAGTGGATAATTAAATATTTTCTGCAACTAGCAAATGGTAGATTGGCGCAGAGCCTATTTTAATAAGCGCTGTTGAGTCTTCTTATTTATATTTTTCAGCTTTTCTTATGGATTCCTGACAATAACCAATAAAAAGTTGCTACCACCAGCCAGATAAGCTGTCATAATTATTAGAATTTAATAAGTTATTCTGTAAAAATTTACTCGATTTTTTTCTCCTTTTTGGGTTCCAGGTAAGGTGTATCAGGCAGCTTTCTGGTACGGGCTCATCGTCCACTTCAGGATCTACCCAATCATATATAGCCTTCCGTTTGTTATAGTTATCAGCAGAATGGACATGGCTCCTGGAAAGCCAAACCTCAGCCAGTGGGTTCCAACGCTCAAAATCTTACCAGAAAGCTCTTCTTCAAATATCTGGTTTTTAGTGAGGGCCATATTCTCAAAAAACGCCATTTTATTTGGGCTGTTTTCTGGCTCCGTGTTCTTCGCATTTACTGCTATTTTCTTCCATATATACGGATGGGAGTTTTTGAATGAAGCCCTCCTGTATCACCTGACTCGCACAGATCCTAGGCATAATTTCTCCATCTATTTCTACTATATTTATTTGCATCACCAGCAGGGTTTCTCAGCTTTAGAAAAGCTCTTCTCCTTCTTGCCTCAATTGATTGTGCAGTTCACTCTAGTCTTTCAGTTTTCTGAAGATCTCCCGTTTTGTCTCTTTGTTCAGACGGTGGCATTTGTTTCATTTAATAAGGTCCACTTTTTATTTTCTTTTCTATAGGCTAACCCAAAGTTATCAGAGAAAACATAAATTATGGTTTTTTTTTTTTTGCAAATTTGGGACTTTGGCAGGTTATTACTGCACAGTATTTTGTGTGGTTCTTCTGCCTATTGCCACTTATTCTTCCTTGGAGCAGAATGAGACTCAAATGGAAGGGTTTTCTCTGCTTCTCTTTATGGCTGGGATCGCAATTACATTGGCTTATGTGGGCTTATTTGCTAGAATTTAAGGGTTGGAATGTGTTTTCACAACTATGGTTGGCTAGCATACTATTCTTGGCTGCAAACACATATGTCTTGGTCATGCTGATTAAACACCAGGTCTGCTCTCCGATTTTTAAGCCGTTAGTTCATTCTCATGATGATAAATCAAGTAAGTTGGAGTGATTTTTTTTTTATAGTTTCTTATTTTATCATTTTTTGATGTAATGAGTACTTTTGCGAATTAATAAAATTTAAATAAATATTTAATTTGCTGCTTTAAATTGAGCACTTTTTGATATGTTGATCTGTGGTTATTCTTTTGTTTAATAGACTATTTGTGTGGAAGTATTGATTTTTCAACCTATTCAATTTGTTCATAATAACCGAACTACTCTTCTTTGATATGGAATAAGTCTTTATTATTACAGCTTTTGATGCAGTTATTGATCTGTTGATTCTTTGTTTATTTTATTGGGGCATTTACAGGGAGATGTTCCTTGGTGTATGTATGCTTCTTGTGGATAAGACTAAACAAAAAGTTATGGATGAACTTGAATTATGGAGGTCTACATTAGAGTCTAAAGGCCTTCATGTGAGTAGATCTAAAATTGAATACATTGAATTTAATTTTAGTAGTAGTAGCTCTAGTGGTAGAGTTGTAATTATGGGTAATCAAATTATTAAGGTGTGATTGTTTGGATGTCTCGGGTTTATTGTTCAAAGTGATGATGATATAGGTGAGGATATTATTAATAGAGTTCCGGTTGGTTGAAATGGAGGAATGTATCGGGACTATTGTGTGATGCTTAGACTAAAAGAAAAATTTTATAAGGTGGTGGTGAGGCCTGCATTGTTCTGTGCCACAGGAGCATAAAACAAAGTTAAGTGTTGCGGAGATGAGAATGCTTAGGTGGATGTTGGTTTGACACTTAGAGAAAAAAATAGAGTTGGTTTTTTTCAAGACTGATTTTTTATTTGAGGATAGTAGTGAAAACCATAGCATATCTCAAATTAGTTGTAATGGATAGTTTAGAAGCAGTAAAAATATTTTGCTAGTTTTTCAATGAGAGGAAAATCATCCATTTCTCATCGATAAAATTATATCTAAAATAACAATGTAGGGTCAGAATTTTCAAGAAAGATTTCCATTTTATGAAGATTTATGAAATTGTACCATACCTTTTCAAAATTGATCGGAAAGAAAATTTAGTGAACTTTCCAATGGGAGAAAAGTTATTCAATTTCATAAAAAAAAAATGAACTACTTATGCTTGAAATAATGAGATTGGGTCAAAATTGTTAAGGCGTGTTTCAATTTTGTGGAATTGTCAACATTATAGCTTATTGCCTCGAAAATTGGCTAGAATAAAAAACTTAAAAATTGTAGAGAATTTTATTGTCTTTCCAAATAGAGCAGAGTTGTCCATTTCTGCTAAGAATGAGCCGTTTATGCCTTAAACAGTGATGTAGGGTTAAATTTTTTAGATTTAGGCTCCGTTTGGGGCCGCTTATTTCGAGCGGCGCGACCCAAAACCGCGAAGCCATTCTTTTTTTTTTTTTTTTGCTTTTTTGCAGTTGCTTTTCTGCTGCGTTTGCGGCTGCTCGCCGCTAAACTTGGTGGAACGCGGGCCGCGGGATCGACCCCGCGGCCCCGCGTTCTCGATTGAGAACACCTTCGTTGCCCCGCTCCCCTCCCCAGTGTCTCGCAAAGCCTGTCCTAGCCTCTGGCGATCCGGAAACCGTGCAGAAGTCTTCTGCCCTAGGGTCTCGAGTGAAGCCTCAGGCGATCCTGAAACCGTTGCTCCCGAGATTATCGCGAAGCCTCCCGTCGCTCCTCCGCCCGCTGCTTCCTCTTCCACCATTGCTTTGGTGTGGTGTCCAGATCAAAACTGCTGCTCCTGATCGGTATCTCCCCTCCCAATTCTTTCTTCGTATTTTGTTGTTGTTGTAGTTCTTCGTTCCAATTTTTTCGGCATTATTTGCCCTCTCCTTGTGTTACGGGGAATGTATACTGTATCATCGTATTCCCTCGTTCTTGATCCGAAGTTTACGAAGGCCACGAAAAGTTGAGCATAGAAATAGGGACCATTTTCATACAGGATTTTAGGTATGTGGCAGATGCATTTCAAGAATGTTGATGCTTTAGTTGATTTGGATTTCTTATGGAATTTGGATCCCAGTAAGAAGATGAGGTTTTCTATTATTATTCTGTTCTAGGAATTTTAATTCTTAACTAGCGTTGATTTTTCTTTGTGGCAGTTAGAAGTTTGGTGGGTAGGATTCTCGCAAAGTTGTGATTGATTTATTAATGCTACTAGAATGAAGGTTTGTCCCAAGTAGTGAGATGGATGCTTTGATATTCAAGCCTTGTTCTTCTCCACGAATATCAGTTTGCTGGCATTGAATTTTCCACAACTTGGCAATTTCAATTTAGTTTCCTTTTTCTTTAAGTTTAATTTTTTGTTGAATTGTAATGGAATTTGTCACAGTTTTGGGCTACCAAACAATATCTTGCATTCCTCTGAATTTTGACTATTTAATCTGTGATGTTATCTAAAAAAAGCTTGTTTCCATTGTCTTTGTTATTTTTGCTATGTTTTTCTTTTTTTATGAAACATAAGAATTGTGTGGTATGCGTGTAATTTTCTCTAAATATGTTTGAGGGAGTAGCTTAGATGAATTGAGTTAAAGGGCAACTTAGGCTTCTTTATATGCTCTATTACATATAGTTGATAGATGCGCATGATCGTCATAATTTCTATAGAATGTTAACATACTTGTTGGTCAAATTATTAAACTTAAAAAAAATCTCAAATTATTCAAACAATTTTTAAATCACATGGAGTATTAGTTTGTGTAATGTATGTGAAACAGATTCATGATGTGCCTAGTGGTGCTGAAGAATTGATAAAATTATTTAAGAAACTTATAAATTGGGTGTCACCAAATAGCTTACTCAACAAGTAATTCTAGAATCATCGATTGTCCAAGTGATGAGGGAATGCAGCAGGGTTCAAGAACTACAGTTAATGTAACTAAGATAACAGTTTCCATTCTGGCAGTCACATAACCTTTTCTACTGATATAATGTCACCCTTGGGAGCAAGCTTAAATCAATATACCAAGCTCAGGAAGTATATAAGTTCGCCTTATGATCCACGATACAGGTAAATCAAACCTCCACTTCGGTATAGTAAAATAGAAAGAAGAGATTGCTCATTCTACTCTTTTGTTGTCTCTTCTTCTGAGCCTGGAAGATGTTTCTTATCATATTAGTAGTCTATTCAACCTGGATATGCCCATTTGAACTGGCTTTCTTACCAAATTCGCTTTCTTATGTGGAGAACATAGTGAATGGTTTCTTCAGAATTGATATAGCTGTCACCTTCTTTGTTTCTTACTTGATCATAAATCATGTCTTCTGGTAGATGATCACAAGAGAATTGCAACAAGGTATGTATATTCTGAAATAGGCATCTTCCAATGTATAATATTTGTACGTTCCTTCTACTTTATATTTTAGCAAGGTTTCTCAAATATTTGCATCTACGTGCTATGGTTAGAATGACTAATAAGAATATGTATATATTACTACAGGAGGTCGTAATTACAGAAAACTGGAATATATACATGCATACCATTCTTCATCCCATGCATTCACATATCTAACAGTCAAAACTCCAATTTTTACATACTCGACACTTTAGCTATGCATGAAAATCTGTATTTCATTTTTTAGAAGTTAAAATGGTGGTATATTTTATATATTATGAAAGAGTTAGGTGGTATAAATGTAAAAAATAAATTTTAGGTCCTAGAGATGTAAATATATTGGATTTCGGTGGTATGTAGGCAGAATGCTACTCTCTGATTCAAAACATAGGTTGAAGATTGCAGTCCTCTCAAAAACCTTTCTTTTATTTGGTAATGTATTTAGTAAATGATGTAAATTCGAGATTTCAAGCAAGACAGTGAAGGAATTATGAAAAACTAAAATTTACCAAATCCTAGATTTAAAATAGAACACAACTGATACTTTCAAATTTGCACACAACATTCAAATAAGCTTTGTGACAAAAATATGTACATGCATATATTTGACAATTTAACTTCAATATATATATATATATACCCCCTAGCGTGTGCGTTATATATGCGTATGATCGAATTGCACACCTTACAATTCGATCATACGCAGAGATCGAACCCCCGACCCGAGGGACTTACACCAAAGGCAGCAACTAATAAGCCAGGCTAATATATATATTTTCGTTTTTTTTAAATTAACATGATAATATTTTTTTATTAGTTTAATTGATTAATAATTAATGAATAATTCATATGTTCAAATTAATCATAATTACATAAATTTATATATTATTATATAAGGATTAATTAATTTCTTTATAAACATATTTGTAAGTTCTAAATTATTTGATAAAAATATAAGTTTTCTTAATTAATAAAACTAATTAATTATTAATTAATGTTAATTTATTGCTTAAGAAATAATATGTTTGATAAAAAAATTATTTTATATTCTGTTACAAACAATATTACTGTGTTGGGTCAGGATGATCATTTGTCCAAAAATAGCTGGCCCACAGCTGTTTTCAGACAGCTGCAACAAACAACTAGTTAGCTTTCCCACAGTAGTTTCCCCGCAGCAGTTTTCTGTGGCAACTAAGCTGCAGCTGAAAAACTGAGAAACTGCAGCTGCTCTTAATTTTAGTTTGCGAAAAATTGGAAAAATTATTGCTTATCTTTCAAAATGAGCTAAAATGAAAAAAATAATAGTTATATAAAATTTTGTTAGCTTCCCAAATGAAGCTGAAATAATCAATAGAAACTCTATTGATGAATGAATAAATTTTCTCTGAAATAGAAGCTTAATGTGTGATTTTTCATTTCGAAGTTTTGTTATTTTAACATTTTCCAATAATGTATATGTTCTCAAAGGAATTGGATGTCATTCTATCTCAAAGTATTATTATTAACTCATGAATATATTATATAGAAATAATAAAATTTGATATACTTGGTCTACATTTATTTTATAGACAACCAAATAATATCATGTATGATCTGCATTTAGTTTATAGACAACCAAATAATATCAAGTATTCAAAATACATTATTTTCTTACTCTTGCATACACCCAACAAAAATAAAAATCACACACACACACACACACACACACTTATATAGAATATATATATATTTAATTCTGTATCTATCTCAGTGTGAGTATATATATATATATATATACTTTTTGTTCATTACACGCTCTTTTTTCAGCCAACCAAACATCTCTATAATTTTTGCTCAAAATTTTTTGATTTTTTTCTAACACAAGCAAAGTGAAAAACCAATTTTGTTATTTTGAAATCCATACATCAAACAACTAATTTGATTGACCAAGCTAAAATATGACATAAGACTAAAAAATCTAAAATATTGTCATCCAAGGTGGGAACTAACTAACAAAAATTTGATTGACCAAGAAATTAAATTTTTTATTTTCATTTCTATCAATAATAGTTTGCCATCCAAATACATGAAAAAAAAAATCATTAAGGAAGATAATTTCATTAACAAGTTAGAAGTTATACATTTTTGTTTGTTCATCTCACTTTCTATAGACATTCTTATCTCTGATGCTCATTTTTTATTTAAAATCTTAGTTTTGAAAAAAAACATTGAAACAACATAATGGTTATCTAAGATAACTCAGTGGAGCAATCACACTTCAAAATTAAAGAAAACAAAAAAAATAATAATAAATATGCATGTTAGTCTTTTCTAATATGTTCTAGAAAATCATAAAATAATTTAAATTATACATTCATGATTTTTACTCATAGAAGAAATCTAAATGTTTCTACATACACCAGCTTTTGCTTTTTACTCTCACGATTTAATCTTTAACTTTTATATATTATATGCTCTTAACTTTCAAATACATCTCACGAGCACCATTTAAATATAGCTTAACACACCCCTAGTTCATACATATTTCGTCGGCACAACATAGCACAGAAAATATCCATTATTGTCTTAGGTGGAAATATGCTTACTCACCACTGTCCGATACACTTCCATCTGCACCACGATTAGTGATCTAAATTTCACAATTATTTGATTTGGTGGAGTGCCTACTCACCCTGAGCCAAGACTTTCCCATCGATAAAGTAGTTAATGATTTAAATTTTACAATTATCTGAGTTGATAGAAAAATATCTACATACATTGACATCCCCTATCAATATCACAGTGAGTTGAGCTCTTTCTCTTAGAATGCATATGCAAACATTTATGTATATAATATTTTAATTTCATTTTTCATAACATATTATTTTTTAATAAGATAGTTTGTATTTATCTACTATGAATAATGCACTTCTATTAGAATTTAAATGTCATAATAATCTAACTTTATAGAAAAAATTATTATGCAACTATTTATCAGGCATATTTCTCTTTCTATTAATAGAAAAAATCATTTATATTTTAAATCACACTGGAATAAAGCATAAATGAAATAAAAAATATATTTAAAAATAAGAATGTTACTGAAATTTAAAAATATAATAATTCACCTCAAACTCAAAAGATTCAATTGTCTGTATATTTTAGCACATCTTCTTGAATAAAAAAATTACTATATTCAAATGTAACATTTTCTTGTTAATTTTTTTAATCATAATTTAATTTCACTATTCAATATCATTCTTCCACTTAATTTACTTTTATTATTTAAATAATTTATTTCTTACATATAATTGAGTATTCATAATTTACTTTTACCATAATTTAAATTTTTTTTAATTCTTAGTACAATAATAATGAGTGTTATTTTTATTCTTATTATTTATTTATAATTATCCTTTGCTTAATTATTAATCTTAGTAATAATAAAAATTAGCCCATAATTTATATCTAAAATAAATTATTAAATCATATCACTCCAAAAATGTAGCAACTTTCCTAATTCCATTAATTTTAAATCTATTTAACACACAATCAAATTGACAATATATTTCAAATATTCTATTAACATTTTATTTATCTCTCCTCGTTTTATAATATGAATATTCCTTAATCCTTTATTTAGATTTTAATAATAACTAAATGATATATGATTCATTCAATAAGTAAATAAAGGAAAATAACCCTAACTTTATAAAACATCAGTCCAATCCCTTCTTATATACCCGCACACATGCTCCCTTTTCCTCTCTTCTTCTACTTGAACATGCATGACACGGACAAGGCTCCTATGCTCGCCTTGGCTTGGTAGTCCCAAATCTTTCGCACATAGAGCCTCTCCTCCTTCCTTTGCACACAAATCTCCTTAACTAGATCTTGCCCTACTTATGTACGGATCAACCCACATTCATCCCTCCATGCACGCGACAAAACTTTTCGTGCAAGTGAACACGTCAAACACCACAAATGGTGTCAATTCCCTGCACAAGGCTCACTCAAGTTTTGCTTCCACTTCTTCTTCTTCTCACTCATCATCACTTATGTCTCGTACCCCCATCTTACCCTTGACTTCTTTATGCTGCTCAATTTAAATGAGACGCTTGACTCCTATTAATGAACTGTCAAGGCAGTTACGCTCAAACCACCACCACCTCTTTAAATATCCTTATATTTTCAATTACTATAACCCCCTTCTTTATAAAAGATTTCATCCCCAAAATTTATGAATTTTAAACATATTAATCATTATACAAATAAAACATTAACTATTCCAACTTTTCAAGGAAATCTAATTCTTGTCAAGTAATAACAAAAGTTGATGTGATAAATTCAACATTTGAGATAAGATAAATCAACTATATAACCAAATATCTGAAAAATAATAGCATATAGGTAACATGATACTCAACTTCTAAAATAAATGTACATAAATATATTCAACACTAGATAACTAACATGCCCCCCAAATGACAAATCACTCCTCAAACTTTACCTTAGAGATGTTATAGCCAAAATCAACCCCGCCATTGAAATCTTTAAGATTCCTTGATCGGAAATCGTGCACACACATCCACTAACATATAGAAACTTATGTGTGGACACACACCCATGCGCGTGTGCGCGGGCACATGTGTGTGCATCTGTGCCCATGTGAGTGCACGTGAGCACACACTCCCACATGCATGCACACCTGCACGCACACATCCGTGCTCCCCTTCATCTTTGACTAGTATATCTATGATGGTTCGGGCATAGTCAAGCTTAGAAGTTTCAGAGCATGGTCACACCCGGATATTACTCAGCATTGTCACGCCTACGCCAAGCCTCTAGGCCATGCCAGTGATTCATGGGCTCCTTCCTCAAATCCGACAGTGAATAGACACATTATTTCACCACTGGATATCATGACCATCGATCCCCACCTAAATTGACGATCACTGAAGCTCCCACTACCGCCTCTACCGCCTATAAATAGGTAATTAGAGCACTTTTGAGGTGTAGATTAGTATGATATTATTTCTTTATGAATTACTTATTTTTTATGGATGAGATTACACTATAAAGAAATGTAGTTTTATGTTTTTCTTGCAGGTGCAACAGAATATGGAAGTGAGGAAACATAGAGGAAACTTGGAGCAAAAGAGCTTATTGAACATTAGCGCTTAGGCGCCGGACCCCTGGACGTCGAGGCGTCGGTCCCTCCCTTTGACAACCCGAGTGATTAGGGCCTCGTCACCAACCACTAGGCGCCTAAGTGCCGTGATATTGGCACCTAGGCATTGTGATACTGGTGTCGAGGCGTCGAACCATGAGCGCCTGGGCGCCCAAGCCTTCTACAACATATAGAGAGACTGGCGCCCAAGTGCCAGCCCCTGGGTGCCAGTTAGAGTAGTTTTCACAGTTCAGGAAGCATGTCATGAAAAGTTTCTTAGAAAGATGTGGAGTGTTTTTCATGCTCAATGATAAAGTCTGTAAATAACAATGTATTAGGGAATTAGGAGATGGATGCCCTATGGGTAAGATTGATTCAAGTGGAACTTTGGATTGATGATGATTGGACATTTAAGGGCTTAGTTTGTTGTAGAGTTTCTTCTTTTCCTCCTAGTGCAGAGCCTAGCAAGAGCCTTCAGCAAAGTGGCCTAGAAGACAGGAGGAGCATTGATTGAGCATCTTCAAGTCATTTTATGGAAGAGGAAGATAAGTCTTGTTTTGTCCTTATTGTTGTATTTCATTTTTAAACATTTTGATAGTGGATTTCTCTTATTTCAATGAATCTATGTGGTGTCTTTCTCGTGCTTCTTGAGTAGATTTCTTTACCTTAACTTGTGATGATTAAGTATGATGTATAGGACTGAAAAGTGCTTTTAAATTACTTTTAATTATTGAATGTGATGATTAACCTTCAGATCTTCATTTACTTTTCATTCAGGCTAAGTGAAATATTAAAATATGTTGTGAACCATAATGACTCAAGAGAGTTATGGTAGAATCATTTAGGTTTGTCAAATTGAACTATGAGGTATAGGTTGGTATGCCTTGTAGGGAGATGCAAATATTACAGAAATATGCTTTGATGGGTTAATTACAAGATTTAAGAGATTAAACTCATTTTAATCAATCTTCTTTATGCACTCGGGAGATGGCAAAGAAGAGTGTTGCTCCTATTGTCACTAGGTTAATTATAATTAACACTTTGCATTTCCTATACTCCACTTACATTATTACAAGGGAGGGTATTTTTGTTGATTGCAGGAATGTTCCTCTTGAAAATTCTTTTTGCTTTGGATTTACTATATATATATATATATATATATACAAAGGCTCTAAAATAGCAATAAATGAAAGTTTATATTTTTTATAGAGTTTAAAATTCTTTTCATGAAAGAGGGGTGAGCATATATATATATATATATATATATTGAAAGAAAGACCTGTCTATGGCTCCTTACATGTTAAGATGAAAATTGGATTACAAAATGAGTGATAGACCACTCAAACCACTCCCTTCTCACCTATCCAAGTTAGTTTATATAGAGATGCTTACAAAAGTTGTAGGAAGTATATATATTTAATTCTGTATCTATCTCAGTGTGAGTATATATATAATCAATCCCTACAATGAAGATAAGGAAAGGATAAACTATCCCCATGAAGAAGGAGAGCTAAATGAGAAGAAGGTATAGCCCTACAGTAATCTCTTCAGTATCCTTTCCCCTTACTGCCAAACTATGTGTTGGAATGTTGCCTTCCCTAAGGATATGCTGGAAATTCACTTCAACATTGATCAACATACACTTGATATTAGTAGTCCACCTAAAAACATTCCATGGGGCAGCTTCTTCCTGTTTCAGTGTTCTGATACAGCTGATGGAATCATACTCTACCACCAATTATGTGATGTTGCATTGATTGGCAAGGCAGACAGCCCAATAAATGGCTATCATCTCAGTTTCAAGTGCATCATTAGCCTAAGTTGGAGAGGAAAAGTACAAAATGCACTTTCAAAATGCACTTTCCT